ACTCTAGCTATCCACACATTTGCGATAAAATGCAAAAGTCTGTTCTCCCACCGTATTACAAATACCTTAGCATGAACCCAATTTTTTTTGCCAAGTTTTGGAAAAACTGGACCAATTAACCTATCAAAGAATCTAGTCCATCCTTGAAATTCCACATCAGGAACAAGATTATGGCCATTTTATTGCATACTTTCAAAATCAACCATAAGTTCATAGAGAACTTCAAGATTATCCACCGGAGTGAGGAGAGTCCTTTCTGGTTCAACGTAGTTTACTTTGCTTGGGATGGAGCTTGAATTAGGAACAGTTGAAGAAGGAGCAAGATTTTGTTGTTGTTGAGAGGAGGAAGCCATTGTTCACAAATCTTAGGATTTAGAAGAAAAGTGGGGAAAAGCAATTTCAGAGAAAACAAATAGTGACTGGGGGTTATGGTGAAAAGTGATTATGAGAGAAGTGTATAAATAGCCAAAAAACATGAAATTAATTGCAACTAAAAAAACATAATGATTAACAGCAATAAATGATTTCTGACGAAGGGGATAGCGTAAAGATCTTTTGAAACAGTTACCAATTTGACTCGCGCCTCAATGCATCAGCTCAAACGTTCTGGCCCTTCAGATTTTAAGCATGTGTTAAGCCTTAGAGAGTGACGTTATGTTTAGGGTTAACATATGCTGATGTGGTGAAGTACATGATGCTATCTTAAAATGAAATTTTTTGGTTAAATGTTCAGATCTTCTAGATAGTTTCTAAGTCAATTTTCCTTCTCACTTATGAAGCACCATTGCTCAGATGTTCACAAAAAAAATCAGAACATTCTGAGAGTTAAGCATACAGAAATAGCATTTTCATTCTAGACATAATTCCATACTAAGATTTTTCAGAATAAAATAAAATCTATATTCGGCAAGGGGTTTTGTAATGATGTCAGCCCATTGACGATCTGCATCTATAAATTTTAAGAAAAGAATTCCCTTCTAAGTATAGTCCTTAATGAAATGGTGTTTAATTCCTATATGTTTAGCCCTAGAGTGTAAAATAGGACTTTTAGAAAGACAAATAGCAGAAGTATTATCATGGAGGATAGGAATTCTAATCTCTTATATATGATAATATTCAAGGTGACTTTTCATCCAGAGCATCTGAGTGCTGCATCCAACTGCAACTATATATTCATCCTCAACAGTTGATAGTGCAATGGTGGATTGTCTTTTGCTTGACCAGGATATTAAGTTGTCTCCCAGAAACTGGCAACTTCCAGAAGTACTTTTTATTTCTATTCTATCTCTAGCAAAGTCTGTATCACAGTATCCTATTAATTTATATTCTCTAGATTTTCTATAGCAAATACCAAGATTAATAGTATCTTCGAGATACTTGAAAATTCGCTTAACTGCTGTTAACTGAGATTCTCTGGGATCTGATTAAAGTCTAGCACATAAGTAAATTTTATAGAGAATATCAGGTCTTGAAGATGTTAAGTAAAGGAGAGAACCAATCATACCTCTGTAGAGCTTATGTTCTACTTTCTTACTTACCTCATCCATTTCTAGAATACATGTAGGATGCATTGGAGTTTTGTATGGCTTACTTTATGACATATCAAATTTCTTCAAAAGTTATTTGATATATTTTCTTTGATGTATAAAGTTTCCTTCTGGAGCTTGATTAATTTGAATTCCCAGAAAGAACTTGAGTTCTCCCATCAGACTCATTTTAAATTCTGTATGCATAGACTTAGCAAACTCTTTGCCTAGCGAGGCTTTAGTATATCCAAATATAATATCATCAACGTAAATTTGACAAATCAGAATGTCATTTTTAAATGTTTTACATAATAAAGTTGTGTCCACTTTTCCTCTAGTAAATTCTTTTTCTAAGAGAAAGTTACTTAGTCTTTCATACCAAGTTCTGGGAGCTTGTTTCAGACCATATAATGATTTCTTATTATTATAAACATACCCTGGATGTTTTGTATTTTCAAAGCCAGGGGGTTGGTGCACATATAATTTTTCGTTAATGTAACCATTTAAAAAGGCACTTTTGACATCCGTCTGATAAAAAGTGATGTCATTATTTATAGAAAATGAAATTAAAAGTATGATAGATTCTAACCTGGAGACTGGAGCAAAGGTCTTTGTATAGTCTATCCCTTCTTGTTGACTATAACCTTGTACAACCAGTTGTGCCTTGTTTCTAATGACTTCTCCTTGTTCACTTAGCTTGTTTCTGAAGACCCATTTAGTTCCAATGATATTGAAGCCTTTTGGTTTGGGAACTAGATCCCATACATCGTTTCTGGTAAATTCATTAAGTTCTTCCTGCATTACAAGTATCCAATCATTATCTTGAAGTTCTTCAATATTTCTGAACATAAATCTTGTTCTGATTGGATAATCCTTCTTTCCTAGAATCATATCTTCAGGATGTACTGATCTGCTTCTGGATTGTCTTTTCTGGATGGGTTCTTCAGAAGTTTCTGTAGTGTTGGTGTTGATGTCTTTTTCTGTATTGGACTGAGTTTTTGAGCTTTTGTCTTCAAGAGATATGTCTTCATAAGATCTGTCTTTAGTAACTGTAATTTGAACTTCTATATCTGCAAAATGTTCAACCTGCTTTGACTTTTGAGAGCTAAGCTCATCATCAAATCTGACACTAATGGATTCTTCCACAATTCGTGTTTTTGTGTTATATACTTTATAACCTATTGAGCGTTTAAAGTATCCTAACATGAAACACTTTTGTGTCTTAGAATCAAACTTGTTCAGATGTTCTTTAGTGTTCAACATATAACAGATACATCCAAATGGATGGAAGTAAGAAATGTTGGGCTTTCTGTTCTTCCACAGTTCATATGGAATCTTTTCCAGAGTAGGTCTTATGGAGATTCTATTCTGAATGTAGCATGCTGTGTTAGTTGCCTCTACCCAAAAGTGTTATCAATGTTAGTCTCATTGATCATGGTTCTGGCTATTTCTTGTAAAGTTCTATTTTTTCGTTCTACAAATTTGTTTTGTTGGGGAGTTCTAGGACAAGAGAAGTCATGAGAAATGCAACTTTCATAAAAAACTTTTCAAAACTTTTATTTTCAAATTCACCACCATGATCACTTCTGACTTTTACAATTCTAAACTATTTTTCATTCTAAACTTGGTTACAAAAGGTAAAGAACACAGAGTGTGACTCGTCCTTGTGTCTTAAGAACTTTACCCATGTCCATCTGCTATAGTCATCTACGATCACTAATTCATACTTCTTTCCGCTTATGGATGCAATTTTCACTGGTCCAAACAGATCTATATGCAGAAGTTCTAATGGTCTAGAGGTAGAAACAAAAAATTTAGATTTGAAAGAGGGTTTTGCAAACTTACCTTATTAACACGCTTCACACAGAGCATCTGAGTTGAACTTCAAGTTAGGAAGTCCTCTGACCAGATTTAGTTTGTTAATCTGATATATTCTTCTCATACTAATATGCCTCAATCTTCTGTGCCAAACCCATTGCTCATTGTTAACAGACATAAGACATTTTACATTCTGACTCTTTATTTCAGAAAGTTTAATCTTATAAACGTTGTTCTTTCTCTTACCATTAAAAAGGATAGTTCCATCTTTCTGACTAACTGCTTTTCAAAACTTTTGATTAAAGATTATATCATAACCGTTGTCACTTAATTGACTTATGGGCAACAAATTATGCATTAATTTATCTACTAAGAGAACCTTATTTATAGAAGGAAGTGTACCGTTACCAATAGTTCCAGAGCCAATTATTTTTCCTTTCTGATTGCCTCTGAAAACTACATAACCTCCAAATTTAAGTTCTGGACTTTGGAACATATGCTTTCTTCCCTTCATGTGTCGAGAGCATCCAATGTACAGGTACCAAAACTGGTGTTTCAACTTTGATGTTAAAGACATCTGCAACATAAATGATTTTATCCTTAGGTACCCATATCTTTTTGGGTCCTTGTTGGTTAGAGTTTCCATAATTATGATTGAATTTTGGTTTATCATAAGAGTTCATAAAATAAGAATCACTAGTGTATTTTATGTCATGTATGTGCCCATATGTGAAATGTGAATTTAGGGGTGTGTATTTTATGACCATGTCTGTCATACCCCAAATTTGCCCTACCCTAATCTAGGGTTTTTCTTCAAATAAATTTTATTATTTAGTTTTCACTTTTATAGGGCTATTTAAAGTCAAAGGGGTGTGTCGGTGTAAAATGGACCATCAATATCTGATAGTCCATTAAGTTTTAAAATTTGTTTCAAGTTTAAAAGAAGGTGTATCGTTTTAATAAGGGAGGTGTGAACAAATTCGTTTTGATAAAGCCCATTTCAAATTTTTGATTTATTTTGAAAAGAAAATGTTTGTTTACTTACGGTAATTATGATTATTATTATTATTATTATTATTTATTAATATTATTATAAGTAACATTTTTTATTTTTTGAAATTAATCTTATTTTGTTAATTTAAGGAAAAAAAAAAGGAAAAATGTTGGCATAAGGCCTAATAACCAAAACAATATGGTCTTTTTCAAGTTTTTGATTTTTGTTTTAAAAATATTTTGTTAATAACACTATTATTATTATTATTATTATTTTATTATAATTAATTAATTATTATTATTATTATTATCATAATCATTTATTACTAATATTATTATGTTAGAAGTGACGTCATTATTAACATTACTATTAGTTTATAACTATTCATTATACTGATTTCTATTATTATATTTAAACATTATATATTAAACTTAACTCCATTGTTTGGTTTTATCAATTAAAAGAAAAGTTGACAAAAAGGGTTTTTTTTTGCACAGCTCAAACCTTACAGGCCCAGTCCAAACAGAAGCGTACAAGCCCAAAACACAAATAAAATATTTGGCCCAAGTCAAAAAAACTATTACTATAGGAATTGTTAAAACACAAAACGAAATAAATCCAAACAAACCCAGACTCTTTTTTTTAAAATTGTCCCAGTGCATTCAATACAAAATCAGGACTGTATCAACTCGAAATTGAATTTTTTCTTTTGCATTCAAACCTTGAATCCACAAGCAAAAACAAATTAAAAGTGTTACAGACAACTTTATTGTTTCCCTAAAATTCTAGGACAACATAATCAAATACATAATCATATATTTACAACTAAAATGGAAACAATATTATATTCAAAATAGAATCAAACAAAATCAATACCATTACGGGCATAATTAAAACTGATTGAATTTGTTGCCAAAAAAAACTTCCCTAATTTGCTAAACAATAAACCAACTTAAATCATTACCAAATATACTGATCCTAAAAAACACTATAAAACAAAAACTAATATTACATAATGAGGAGGATAAAAATTTCTTACAGCGGGAAGTATCGAAAGTTATAGAAAATTACAGTAGAGGGGGAAGAAAGTGTTGCAGTAAAAGGACCTCCGTACCGTTGTTCATATCCATATTTGGGGTTTGGGTTTCGAGATCCGAAACCTTAAACCTGGTGGAGCCTCCGTCACCTTAATCATCATCGTCATCCTCTGTGCATCATCACTCCCCTCCTCGTCGGGCTCCACTCCTCCGTCCAACCCTTCGTCCGCCGCCAAGAAACAGCATTCCTCCGACGACAATCGATAATATTGCAACATCAAGCTCCGCCTCTGAGTTTTTGGCGGTACCCATCCCTTTCTCTTTGCTTCTATTGTTTTTACTATGATGCTTGAATGAATTTCACTATTTTGGAGGAGAAATAGAGATATCTTATCTAATTCATTTGGTTTGTTGAGGGATATCTATCTTTGTGGTACTTATGTGTTGGTTGTTTTTTTATTTTTATTTATTTTAATATTGACATGTGCCGCTTGCGGATTGGGAGAATAAAAGTGTTGGAAAAGTTATGTATCTTGTATATAAAAGGACGCCGCGTGCATCTAAGTTTATTAGCTTTTATTTTTTTATTTATTTTATTGTTGAATTTTGTTATATATATTTATTATTTAGTAATTTTAGAATTAGGGGTTTAAAGGACAATCGGGATCTTGGATTCTTCAAACTCATTTCTTATGATATACACACTCTCTACTAGCTACACCCCATGTTTCTTTTAATACATATCTAGTGTAGATTTTTATAAGTTATTTATTTAGCTAACCAATAAAAAAATAACACAAAAACAATAAAAACATGATAATATAAAAAAAATATGTTCTTTAATTATTAGATTTGATTTTACTTGGAATTAATTTAGTCATATAATTATTAATTCAATATTTTACAAAAATATTAAAAATTATGCAATTTATTAATGAGCGACATGTGGCCAACATATGGTCACGTGGTGAGAAAGACTATATCAGACTTCCTCCGTATCCTTCATGACGAACAACGCGTGGACAATATCTGGCCACTGTTTACAGTGATTTCTAGTAAACAACCGCTAGTTTTCCAATTTACTAATTATTATTGGTTACTTGCAGGATCGACTAGATTGATCCTAGAACACATGTGTCATAACTTATTTCCATGTTCATATCTATTATATTGATAGACTTATATTGTATGTTAAGTTCGAATACGAGATTCTTAGGAAAGATTTCTAAAATGGCCTATAGGAATAAACTAACTGAATGTAGGCAGGAAATGCTTCGAATTAGACTTGGGCTTGAATGTAAAGATAAGTGTTTGACTAAAAGGATAAAGTAGAAGTAAAGTTTCTAACGAAGTGACTGTGTTTAAAGGCAAGTAAAACAAGGGAATGCAAGGAAAACGAAGGATTTAAGGGCAGAAATACTGTAATGGCGAACTAAATATAACAAGACTTGTAAGACTTGTATTGAAATTGTAAAAAAGTAATGATGTTCAATACGTACATTGTATCTTCTGACTCGTTTTCCTTTATTCACGGTAGTTTGAGTATTTTGAGATCTTTTAGTACATAAAAGTGAACATACTAAATCTAACATAAGAACACCTATTTATAGTGTCTTGACCCTAACAGCCCTATTCTAAAATCACGCCACGTTCGAAGCATGCAGGCTTCCTATGTTTGCTGACTTCCACGCGTCTTCTAGAATGACGCTCTTTATTTGAAATTCGAAATCTGTACCAATCGAAGCATCTTGTTTCTTCGTTACTTTCGAAATAACCCAATTACCTGGACCGTTTCCAACTTCTGGCACCCTTACATAAAGAAGCTCTTTTATAATTCGAACACCAAAACAAGTCCAAATCGAAATCTGCTGGAAATTGAATAATCCTTCAACATAATGACTCCATATCTCCCACCAATATCCAATATTGATATTAATCTCCTTAGGTACTTTATTCGAAATATTATTTTGGTAGTGGTTTCCTCCTTATTCGAAATAGCCAGCTAACAAATTGCCCCCCAAGAACATGTATTTCGACAGATATAAAGAAATACTTGTTCTTTGACTCATCCAGGCTATTTGGAGAGTATCAAAAACTCATGATGATATTACTGTACACGATGGCAGAGTAAGTGTCCTACTTTCTGCAAAAACGTCCAATAAACGAAACGCCCCTTTCTGATTGTTGAATGTATTTTGTTAATGCTTTTTATTGTAAATGATTGAACACAACCATTCTGGCACTTATATAATACCATTTTGGCTTCATGTTTATATATATTTTTTATTATCCTGCAGTGATTCTAACCTCTTGCAAGCATGGTTTATACCTTTTTAAGTATTTCCCATTTACCCTCAAGATTCTTCTATCTTCCGCTAATTCTTCTATTTCGTAAGCATTATTCGAAAATGTTTTCAATACTCGAAAGGGACCCTCCCAATGGGGTGACCATTTACCTAATAATCTGTTCTTTTTATCCATAGGTAATATAACCTTCCATACCGGGTCATTGGTTGAGAACAACTTACTTTTAACTCTTTTGTTGTATGCTCTGGCTACTCTTTCTTTCTGTCTTCTCATAACTTCTAAAGCATGTAGCCTATCTTCATCCACGTCCACTAATTCATTCATCATCATTTCCCAATATTGATCAGTTGGTAATTCATTTTGTCTTTGGATTCTTATTGATTGTAAGTGTATTTCGACTGGCAACACGGCGTCATGTCCAAAGGTAAGTCGAAACGGAGTAGTATTCATTGCTTCTTTAGGAGATTTCGACATGCCCACAAAGCTTGGTCCAAAGTTTTGTGCCAATTTCTTGGCTTTCGTCCTACATGTTTCTTTATCAAACCTATTATGACTTTATTGACTGCTTCTACTTGTCCATTAGCTTGAGCATAGTAAGGAGTTGACGTTAGTAATTTAAATCCCATTTCTTTTGCAAACTCTTTCATTTTTTGCCCTGTGAAAACTGAACCTTGATCTGTTGTAATACTTTCTGATATTCCGAACCTGTAAATTATTTGCCTCTGGATAAATTCCATAATGACCTCTTGATCAACGTTCACTAGAGGAATTGCTTCGACCCATTTTGTAAAATAATTTATACCCACAAGGATATATTTCTGTCCTTTGGATGATGCTGGTCGAATTTCACCAATTAGATCTAATGCTCATCCTCTAAAAGGCCAAGGCTTAACAATTGAATGTAACTCACTTGCAAGAGCATGTTGAATACCTGCATGAACTTGGCATTGTTCGCAACCTTTAGCAAATTCTATGCAGTCTTTGAGCATAGTGGGCCAATACATTCCATATCGAAACAACAACCATTTCATTTTGTGACCTGCTTGATGTGCCCCACATGCCCCACTGTGCACACTGGATACTGCTAAATATGCTTTATTTTCTCCTAAACACTTGAGTAATATACCTTCTGGGTTTTTCTTAAAAAGTTCATTTCCTATTAGGACATAAGACAATGCCCTATATTTGGTCTTTTTCTCTATACTTACTGAAGGTTCTTTCAGGTAATTTACTATGGGACTTCTCCAATCTGTATCTGCCAAAGTATCAATATTTAGTACTTCGAATTCTTTCTGATCTGCATAACCTAGTTTCGAAGTTTCCAAGTCTAATGGTGATAATTTGGTAGCCAATATTCTGCCTCTTGTTTCTATGAGATATTGGAGTTTTTCTCTAGATGTCTTATATCCTGAAGCTATTTGAGTCAAGTCATTTTCCTCCTGATTATCAATTCTGGGAATATGTTTTATATCCACATATTCAAATTTTTTGAGTAATCTATTAGCAATAACGAAGTACATGATAAAATTTTCCTTGATACATTTGTATTCTTTGGTTATCTGTTTGATGACCAGCTCTGAGTCTCCCGTAATTTCGACTCTGGTTGCCCCCAAATCTAAGAAAGCTTCAAGTCCAGCAATTAATGCTTCATACTCAGCTTCGTTGTTCGAACAAGGAGGGCCTTCTAACTTGCACTTGAATTTTGTTGGAATTCCCTCAGGAGAAATTATAAGGACTCCAACACCACTTCCATATTTATGTGTTGACCCATCGAAGGATAATTTCCAAGGCTGGATCTCAACATAATCTAACGCGAAGTCCTCACTCACAAAGTGATCCACTATGAAATCTAAAACTACTTGTCCTTTCATAGCTTTTAAAGGCTTGAAGGTCAAATTGTACTCAGTGAGCGCTAAGGCCCATTTTCCAATCCTGCTGTGCATGATTGGTTTCGAAAGCATATGTTTAATAACATCAAAGTGAGATGAAACATAAACATCAACTGGTTTAATATAATATTTAAGTTTTGTATAAGAGAAATACAGACAGAGGCATAGTTTTTCAATGCTACTATACTTAGCCTCTGCTTTATTTAGGACCCTACTAAGATAATAGATGGCTCTTTCGACGCCATCATCATTTTCTTGGGCCAACATACTACCTATAGTTACATTGGAGGCAGAGATGTACAAGCTCATTGGTTTATCTTTAGAAGGGGGTGCAAGTATAGGAGGATGCATCAAATAAGCTTTGATTTTCTCGAATGCCTCCTGATGCTGCGCATTCCATTCAAAATTCCCTTGGTTGAGACGGAGGAGTGGAGAGAAAGCTTGAGTTCGCCCACTCAAATTAGATATGAATCTCCTTAAAAAGTTAATTTTACCCAATAGAGATTGCAACTCTTTCTTTGTTGAAGGAGGTTTCGTCTCCATAATAGCCTTCGTCTTGTTCAAGTTAATTTCGATCCCCTTCTTGTGGACTACAAAGCCTAGGAAATCCCCAGCCTGAACAAAGAAAGAACATTTAAGAGGATTCATTTTTAAGCCATGTTTTCTCATTCTTTCGAATGACTGGCAAAGGTGAGTCAAATGATCCTCATCAGAAACAGATTTGACTACTATGTCATCTATATAAATCTGCATAAATGACTCAATGAAATCATGAAAAATAATGTTCATTGCCCTCTGATATGTTGCCCCAGCATTTTTTAGTCAAAAGGGCATAACTACCCATTCATAAGTGCCTAAAGCGCCTGGACATCTGAATGCAGTTTTGGGAACATCATCCTCAGCAACAAAAATATGATTATACCCAGAGTATCCATCTAACATACTCAGGTATTCGAAACCCGCATCAGAATCAATCAGCATTTCTGCGATAGGCATGGAATATTCATCTTTTGGGGTGGCAGTGTTTAAATCCCTAAAATCTATGCAAATTCGTAAAGAGCCATTTTTCTTAATAACATGTA